CAGGGCTGCAGTGAGCTGTGACCATACCACTGCACTCCAGCCTGGTGCAGAGTAAGACTCTGTCTCAACAACAACAACAACAACAACAACAACAACAACAACCACCACCACCACCCTGGCCGGACGCGATGGCTCATGCCTGTAATCCCAGCACTTTGGGAGGCTGAGGTGGGCAGATCATGAGGTCAGAAGATCGAGACCATCCTAGCTAACACAGTGAAACCCCATCTCTACTAAAAATACAAAAAATTAGCTGGGCGTGGTGGCACATGCCTGTAGTCCCAGCTACTCAGGAGGCTGAAGCAGGAAAATCACTTGAACCTGGGAGGTGGAGGTTGAAATGAACCCAGATCACACCACTGCACTCCAGCCTTGGCAACAGAGTGAGACTCCGTCTCAAAAAACAAAAAAACAAACAAAAACAAAACCCTTGCCATAGTGGAAATTTAATTGTATTTATCACATATCAGAAAGTGATGATCAGAAAGTGGCCCAGGAATGCAGAGGCTGCTGTTTTCAAGAGGGTGGCCACAGCAGGTGAGAGGTGGATGGGGCAGGCAGGAGGGTAGGGCTACTGCTCAGGCTCCTCTTACAACCAGGAGAAGGACAGGGCAAGGCATGAGATTATTTCAGAGACTACAATGTGGATTCAACAAACATTTAAACAGCTTCTGTGCTCCAGAGTCTGCCATGGTCCATACTTCCTTTAACCCTCACATTCAGCTGGTGCAGTCAGCATCATGGTTATTTACAGTTGAGAACATGGAGCTTCAGAGCACTTAAGTGACCTGAGCAAGAACGCAAAACTGTTGAGGGACTGAGCCTGGATGCCAAACCTGTCCTCTGATTCTTTAAGGCCAGTGGAAATTGCCCTTTGCATTGCTGCCAGCTCATTTATTCACTCGATAGATAGTCATTCATCCCTTACCATGTTTAAAAGCCTCTGGGGCACAGTGAAAAGTCTAATTTTGCCAATTACTTAACCTCTTTGCATCTCCTTTCCCCACCTGTAAAACAGTGAGATCACCATCCTCACTTCACAGGTTCATAATTATTTGATTAAATAAACAAATATATGAACAGCACCTTTCAGGGAGTCCACACATGTCAGTGTCCTTCCTTCTTTAAAAGACTGGGCTGACCTATTGGCTGTGCACTGTGGTCTTCACCAGCAGCGAACTGGGCCCAGGAGCCCAGATGCATGTTCAGATTCTGTCTCGACCTCTTACTTCCTGGGTGTCCTTGAGAAGATGACTTAACCACTCAGAACCTTGTTTCTTCATCTATACAACTGGGAGAATAGGAAGTAGTTCTCAACCTCAACAGGTTCTTGTGAAACGTAAGTAAGTTAACGTACGCCCTCACTTGTAGAACCTGCCTCTCTCGTTGTAGAGCTCCAGGAAGGTTGCCCGTTGCTATTGTTGTGGGACTATGTCCAGGTCACTTTTCCTCCGTGAAATGTAAATTTCTCAGATGTAAAATAGGGGAACTTGACCGCTTCTAAAGAGCCCTGTGGAGCATTGGGAGACCAATCACCATAGAAGAGAATCCAGAAAGAGAATGTCTGTGAGGCCACCAGCCACGTCCCAGGGCTGGGGAAGGTGTCCAATAAACAATAGCTATTACTGGTATTGCTGCCAAGGAGATCATGTAATGGCATTGGGAGAGCAGAGTGCTGGCCTGATCATTCAGCCCCCTTCTCTCCCCTCACTCGCAATTCCTTTCAGAGACTTGGGCTTCTCTATTAACCTCACACCCTTCTTGTCCCGCCCATATTTCTTTCAAGGACTGAGCTCCCCAGGCTGATTCTGCCCATCAGCAGGCAGGTGGACTGTGGTTTCTTGTGATTGGGAATAGGTCCAGGTTCTGGTTGCCGCCTTAAGCTAATAGGGACTGGAAACCTCAGTTATGTAACGACACTATCTCTTTCACTCTTTGGTGATCTCTTGGCCTTCACTCTTTTGGCTAGGTATCAGAGACCTCTCCTCTGTCTCCATCAGGTTGTTTTTCCATGGAATTAAGGCGTGCATCTGTCCACTGATAGGGGCGTTTTCTCTCACACCCTGTCCTTAAACATAGTCAGTCCCTCCCACAAGCTAGTTGCCTCGTTTACTCCTGTCAGGACCCCCAAGCAGATCTCTTTTCAAGATGGCCCCCTTCATCTATCCCCAGTTGGCTTTAAATGTGTGAAGAGGGGGACCCAGTGGGGTGACCATAAGGGTTGGGTCATCTCATCCATTCTCCTCATCCAACTTTATCTCCGAAATGAAAACTTCCCATCCCCTTCCTCTACTCATCCTCCATTCTTCTTATACATCTCTCACTCACAACCTGTGTCTACCTGCTAATCCCTATGGGAAGTTCTGCCAGAGGTCTTACCTCAATTTCTCACACTGTTACATTTGGGATGGTGTTAGAATGTTATGGAAAGGTGGAGAGTCTAATGTTTATTTCTGGTCTTCTCAGCTATGCCATGGAAAGGAGACTCCATTCCATAAGTTACAGACCCTAAAGGGGCACCTGCACAGTAAAATGCTGGTCCATATATGCCCTCAAAACCTTATCATTGGATAGGCGTAGCAGGGAGTGGAGGTCGGCAGGCACACAAACAACTGTAACGTGAAGTTGAAGGTAACAGGACAGAATGATGAATAAAGACCTTTTCAAGCACTGAAATGAAGCTGGATTTAATCTGTTTAGGCAGATCAGAAAAGATGCCCTAAAGCCAGAAGGCCTTGAGATGGAGAGTTGAGGAGATGTGGAAGGGGATGAGGTGGCAGGCTTGCTGAAGGCACAGCCTGAGCCCAGAGGCTGGAGGTGAGAATGGGGAATAGATATCATAGTATTCAAAGGAGACTGACTGGGGAGTCATACTGTGGGGAGCAAAGAGATCCCCTAGAGAAGGAGGTGGGAGGCGGGAGTTGGAGAAGATCATGGGGAAGTTTCTTATTTGCCTCTCTCCCTCCACAGGTGCTACTGCATTCCAAGAATATCAGAAAACTGGGGAACTCTCAACATCTGATCACATATTTCCCCTCACTCCAGGCCTTGTTTATAGTATCCCTTTGGATCACACTGTTCATTCAGGACAAAGACCTCCAGAGCTCCCTAAATCTACAGAAATCCATGAGCGAAAACGCCACTGCACCACCACACGCCCTTCTAAGCCAACTGACAAGCCTATAGACAACTCCAGAACTACAGAGCACAAAAGCTCTACAGACAATCATGAGGCTCCTCCCTCTTCTGAAGAAAACTCCAGCAATCAAGGGAAAGACCCAACGATCCGGAATCAGCACTCTGTTGATCCTGCTTACTCCACTACCGCACATAAAGAATCCTCTGAAAAACAACATATAACGCCAGCACCCAAGAGCAAAATAAATTGTCATAAGTCCACAACAGGCAAATCAACAGCAACAAGAAAACCAGATGAAACTGGAAGATCTTTGGAAAAGTCCATGAGTACTTTGGATAATAAAAGTACCACCTCACATAAGACTACAACTTCCTTCCACAACTCAGGCAATTCACAGACCAAGCAAAAAAACACATCTTTTTCAGAAAAAGTCACAGCAGCCTCAAAAACAACATACAAGACTACAGGAACCCCAGAAGAGTCAGAAAAAACTGAAGATTACAGAACAACAGTTGCCTCAGATAAGCTCCTGACAAAAACTACAAAAAACATACACGAGACCATATCAGCCAATGAGACACAATCTCTAGCAAAGCCTACAGAACATGGAGAAAGGACAGCCAATGGGAACACCACACCATCCCCAGCAGAGCCTACAGAAAATGGACAAAGGACCCCATTTGCCAATGAGAAGACCACATCATTCCCAGAAGAGCCTACAGAAAATAGAGGAAGGACAGCCAATGAGAACACCACACCATCCCCAGCAGAGCCTACAGAACATGGAGAAAGGACAGCCAATGGGAACACCACACCATCCCCAGCAGAGCCTACAGAACATGGAGAAAGGACAGCCAATGAGAAAACCATACCATCCCCAGCAGAGCCTACAGAAAATGGACAAAGGACCCCATTTGCCAATGAGAAGACCACATCATTCCCAGAAGAGCCTACAGAAAATAGAGGAAGGACAGCCAGCACCAATCAGAAGAAAAACACCAAAAAAACCATACAACTCAGCAGAACAGAAAATGGACAAAGGACCCCATTTGCCAATGAGAAGACCACATCATTCCCAGAAGAGCCTACAGAAAATAGAGGAAGGACAGCCAATGAGAACACCACACCATCCCCAGCAGAGCCTACAGAACATGAAGAAATGACCCCATTTGCCAATGAGAAGACCACATCATCCCCAGCAAAGCCTACAGAAAATAGAGGAAGGACAGCCAATGAGAACACCACACCATCCCCAGTAGAGCCTACAGAAAATGGACAAAGGACCCCATCTGCCAATGAGAAGACCACATCATTCCCAGAAGAGCCTACAGAAAATAGAGGAAGGACAGCCAATGAGAACACCACACCATCCCCAGCAGAGCCTACAGAACATGAAGAAATGACCCCATTTGCCAATGAGAACACCACACTATCCCCAGCAAAGCCTACAGAACATGGAGAAAGGACACCATCAGCCAATGAGAAGACCATACCATCTCCAGCAGAGCCTACAGAACATGAAGAAATGACCCCATCGGCCATTGAGAGCACCACACCATCCCCAGTAGAGCCTACAGAATATGGAGAGAAGACTACATTGGCCAATGAGAAGATCACAGTATCCCCAGAAGGGCCTACAGAACATGGAGCAAAAACTACGTTGGCCAATGAGAAGATCACACCATCTGTAGCAGAGCCTACAGAACATGGAGAAAGGACCACATCACCCAATGACAAGATCACTTCATCTGCAGCAGAGTCTACAGAACATAGAGAATGGACTACATCAGCCAATGTGATCACACCAGCCCCAGCAGAGCCTATAGAACATGGAGAAAGGACCACATTGGCCCATGAGAAGATGACACAAGTCACAAAAAAGTCTACAGAACACCCAGAAAAGACCATGTCAACCACAGAGAAAACCACAAGAGCCTCAGGAAAGCCTACACTATACTCAGAGAAGACCAGATCCACCAAAGAGAAAAACACATCAGTCCCAGAAAAGCCTACAGAAAACCCGAGGAACACCACACTGACCACTGAGACCATAAAAGCCCCAGTAAAGTCCACAGAAAACCCAGAAAAAACAGCAGCAGTCACAAAGACTATAAAACCTTCAGTCAAGGTCGCAGGAGACAAATCTCTCACTACTACCTCTTCTCATCTAAATAAAACTGAGGTTACTCATCAGGTGCCCACTGGTTCTTTCACCCTCATTACACGTAGAATGAAGTTGAGTGCTATCACATTAGAAGCCCCAGGCAATGAGAGCCATCCATACCTCAATAAAGATGACTCACAGAAAGGTATCCACGCTGGACAGATTGGGGAGAATGATTCATTCCCTGCATGGGCCATAGTTGTTGTGGTCCTGGTGGCTGTGATTCTCCTCCTGGTGTTCCTTGGCCTGGTCTTCTTGGTAAGGGACAGATGTGCCCCATGGAAATCAACCTATGGGATAGGGAATTGGGGACACATTAAGGGTCAGAGTTACAGGGAATAATGAGTCTAGGAAAAGAGACATGGCAGAAGTGGGAGGAACAGTAATAGAGGAAGAGTTTTGGTGAAAACTGAGGAGAAAGACAATAAATACACAGGAGGTAAAAAGCTGGAACTGGAGAGAAGGCTGTGGCTGAGAATGAAAGGGCGTGAAAGAGAAAGTGTCGGGGATGGAGAGTCTGGGGTATGAGAATAGGAGGTATAAGGACAAGGAGAATATGGTAGAGGAGGGAACTGGGACTTATTGTATCGGATCTAGAGCTGGAATAAACATCAAGATGGAATCTTGAAAATAGAATGAAGACCTGAGGTGAGTGTTGAGAAAAACAAATCGCAGATGGTTCTCATTCCTCCTTTCTCATCCCAATCACAGGTCTCCTATATGATTCGGACACGCCGCACACTAACCCAGAACACCCAGGACAATGACCCAGAGGATGAGGGTGGCCCCAATTCCTACCCAGTCTACCTGATGGAGCAGCAGAATCTTGGCATGGGCCAGATCCCTTCCCCACGGTGATCTTGGAATAGGAGCCCAGCCCTGGCTCTTCCATGCTCTGCCCCTTTCCTGGATGAGGAACTGGACTCACAATTTCTATTTCCTGGACTACAGGAAGGGCAGAGAATACTGATGGTTACCAGTATTAACCCTTCCTCTGTTCTTTATTGAAACTGGTTGGCGAATGAAGTGATAAGCAAGGAGGGTGTAAGTTTAGGGGTCAAAGAACAAAGAATGAAAAATACAAGCAGACATTCTCTGTAGAATGTGATGGTCTGAGAACGAAAAGGTGTTTGATGGACATGTTGGGGGACCAATGCAGAACTGCACTGAGTCCTAAAGAAAGGACAGGAGCCTTAGAAGGCAATGCCCCAGACTGACTTGTGAGTGGGGATTATGGGGAAAGGGAGAGACTGAGGGCAGAGTCTCTGGGTTTCAGGACAGCATTGTTATTTCCATTCACTATTATTTAAGAGTTTGCATGTAAACAGGCTCATCTCTGAGTTCTCAGGACCCTTGCTTCCGCCCCATTTTCTTAATAAAAAAACCAAAAAAACAAAACAAACAAAAAAAACGGATCCAAGAAGAAAAAAGAATTTATTTCCTTCTCCACTCTCTCCATGCCCTGGAGAAAAAAAAATTCAGAAGAAATCACAAATCTCTCTCATCCACATGGTTGATCCCTCTTCCTCCCAAATCCCTTAGTTTTCCTAAACGTCTACAGCGGACACCCTGTTGGTTTGGCTTGCTGGGTTGTGGGTGGACACACAAGGAGGGGATTTTTGTTTGGCCAGCAGTCTCACCCACTGATCTCCATCCCAGACTTTCCCTGATGGTGTCTCAGCATTTATTTTCCTGTCTCTTCCACCAAAAGTCAGCTGTGGCTTTATGTCGTAAAAGTTACCCACCTTCTCTACCATTCCCATACTCTCCCCTCCCACCTTCACCCCAGATTCCAATTTTCCTCCTTGTAGTCATTTCATCTATGTGTTTTCTACATTTTCTCTCTCTCTTCTTATGGCCATTTCACCTTACTACTGATTGGGCAGAGGGGAAAAGAAGAATGATGATAATAGTTTCCTTCTACTGATCTTTTTTATAATAAAGTATAACATGTTTATAAAGGGCATCATAGTTATTAGACTATCTATTGGGAGAAAGTTCTGACTGGTGTTCCTGGCTCCGGCTGAGACCTTACAGAAGAGGAGGAGCCGGAGGAGATGGAGGGCAGGACTGGCAATCTATGGAGGGTCAAGAAAGGGGAGGCTGAATTTCTATTGCTCCAAAAATGCCTCCTTTCTGGGTTTAGATAAGAGCCAGCCTTAGTGCAGGCCGGGCTTATTCGCATGGTGGCAAAATGAGTAGAAAAACCTGTCAATTAAAAAGCAAGTATTTTAAAGCACCTATTATATACTCTGTTGAAGATATAAAGAAGTATAAGACATAGTTCTCACCTGAGACACAAAGATAGGAAAATTAAAATTAAATAATTTAACAAGAGTTGTCACAAGGTAGGTGCTATACAGAATAAACAACACCCTAATTCATTAAGCCCAACTCCGTGAGTATCTGCTATGCCCCCTATTTATGTTAGGACACCAGCCCTCCTCCAAAACCATTCTGTGCCCATGTCAGTCCCAACAGAAACTTCCCATCACCCATGCAGCCTTGGCTCTCTTACCAGAGGAAGATGGCATCATCACTAACAGAAAAGATGCCCCACTTTGCTGCCAGGCTCCTAAACGTAACTCCATCCAGAATCAAACAGTGGGGCCACAGGTCACTCACTATCTGTTCCTTTGGGCATCCCCATTTGCTGAAAGCTGGAAACCTATCATGGTCAGTAATCCCAACCCTGACACTGATGTCATTGAACTATCTGGCCCTGGCTGGGCTGGGAAGGCCCTTATTACTGAATCTCCCACCAGAAACCCACTCTGCTAAGGGCAAGATTGAAGCTTGACTCTCAGAGAGCGGGCATGCCAGGTGCCAGAGGGACCCAGATTTAGGCCCCTGGAGAAAGGAGGTAGAGGGACACCTGGGTTCCGGAAGGGGCTGGAGAGCCCTCGAGAAAAGGAGGAAGACGCCTGGATTTTAGTTGTCTGAGCAGGTGGTGACTCAGCTTGTGGTATCTGCCAGGACAGGAGTCTCTCTCTGCCCTGGGAGGGATGCAGAGACCCCTAAACTCAGCCTGGACCCCAATTCAAAAACAAAACGAAATAAAAACATCTCTGCCCCTAGAGTCCTAAACATCCAACCGGACAGACCCCTCCCCTATCAAGAGACCAAAATGCAGCACTAGGGGTCAAACGGGGATGGGGAGGTTCTTCGCCCGGCAAATGCGGACTGGGGGCCTTGGGGCGCGGCGGGTGTCTCCTTCCCACTTCTCTCCCCTCTCCGTTCCCCGCTAATTATCACTTTGAAATCCAGGTGGAAATCCTTTAACAAGCTCCAGGACTAGGCCCTCATTGGGGATAATTACTTAATGAATAGGACACGAGAGAATGCGCTCTCTCAGCCCCCAGGGAGGACACCTCCGGGGGAGCGAGTGCCCCGAGGGCAGGCGGCGGCCGGGGCGCCGGAAGCTTCTGTCCCGGCGGAGTTGGAGAGGGGACTCCGGTTCCCCGAGACTGCGGTCCTCCCTCATTCTTCCGGGTTCCACTTTGCGGGCAGCTTCTGATCTCTCGCGGACAGCGCAAATTTGTGGTTCGAGGCCGCTGCTCCCGCAGCGCCCCAGCCCGACAGCGCCGAATCCCCTCCTCCCAGCTCAGTTCCCGGGGGGGGGGGGGGGGGGGGCGGGCCGCACTGACAGGCCTGGGCGTCGCTCCTACCCCCGAGACATTGGCCATAAAACTGACACACATTTGTGATGTGCTTTCACTTACATCGCACCTGTGAACCTCCCATCACCCTGCGAGTTAGGAGGCCTGTTTCACAGATGAGAAAACCGAGGCTCAGAGAGGAGCCCTGTTCAAACCCACACGGCTCCTATGGAATAGAAGACTTACTTTATTTTTCTCCATTCACTTTGTTCCTCAGTGGAGCCAGGTTCTCACACCGAGGCAGCCCCAATCTAGATGGGTGGGATGTTATATGGACCACCTAAGGAACAGAATATAATTTAGATTTGCGAGAGTGTGTCCAGCCTCTTCTTCCAGAGTCCAGGCCTCCCTTTCCAGTCCCTTGAACGTCCAGAGTCGTCTTCTGGCCTCACCGCCAGTATCCCACGGCAGGGTTTTTTTCTGCCAGCCTCTGTCCCCTGACACACATTAACTGGCCTGATAGTCACAGGCTCTGCAACCTCCCCTCACAGCTGTCCCTGGAGAGGTGCTGGCACAAGAAGATCCAATGATTTGGGACACAGTAACCTCCATTTTTCTCCCCTCTGCCTCCTACAAAGGCCTCTGTCCCAGAAATGAGACATCCCCAGAGAAAACCGGTTTCTGCTGACCTGTGGCTGGGAGGGTGGGTCTCGTCTCCTCTCACAGATTTGATCCCCTTGTTCTCTCTCCCGTTCCCTGCTTCTTCCCTCATGTTGTCAGGGCCTTAAGATGTCCCTCCCTGGAGAGGGAGGGTCCAGAAGTTGTGACCTCCCCTGCCTGGTGGCAACTATAATGCCACAGCTATGGTCAAGTGAGAAAAGAAACTGAGCCAGACACATTGTTGGAGCAACCCTCAGAAACCAGGAATCCAGCGTTCCCAGTCCTCACTGTCTTGGATCCTACCCCAACTGATCTTACTCATCCCAGAACCCTGCTCCTGGCGAGTTTTTAATTCTTTCTGCAATTTCACGTCCCATTGAGACACCAGGCATCAAGGCCCCCTCTGGAACCCATCTCCGCTCTAGAACCCAGGCACTCTAGATAACTTCCCACGTGGATTATTTCAAGATGAGGTGAGGGAAATTACTCCCCACCTCCTGCATACAGGTGATGCTTCTCTTTGGAATCTTAACTGGTAAGTGAATTATAAATTGGAGAGGACACAAAGGACACAAGTCTGAAGGAGACAAGGGTTCCTGTCCCATTGTTTGCTTCTCATTTTTTCAGCGAAAGCAAAATGCAAGCAAAGGTGAACTTTTTCACCCCTTTCTGCAAGTCAGTACTAACCATGACTCTGGCCCCCCCCCCGCCTTCACTTTGCAACAAACCCACCTTCATCCTCTCCTTCCAATGCTCCGCTGTAAGCATGAACGCAAACAGCTGCATTGCATTTCGTGGGCTTAATGGCTGCTCGACAAATCCTTTGTATCTAACTTGAAAATTCTAATTTCAGCGTCATCCTTAAATCCTTACTACAGCTAGGCTCCAAGTCTAAAGCCAAGCCAAATGAATATATCACTTACAGAAATACTGCCTAAATTAAGATCCTCAGCCGGCTTTCATAATCTCTGGATAGAGACAAGTAGGTATCCTGGGATGAAGGAACTATGTATGGGTTTTATATCAGGCTGGAGACCTGGAGAGTTCAATCCGCATTCATGTCTTCCTAGCCACTTTACCTGATTCCTCTTCTTGCTGCCTTCAGTGTTTCCTCCACGTTTCAAGTTTGTCTGCCTAACGACTACAACCCAATGTCAGGCAGATTTATAAAGCCCCTTCACTTCCACTGTAGGATAAAATGTCATAAAAAGAAAGTGAGGAAGTTGTTTAATTAGAACAGAAACTAACCCTAAACTGAATAAACTGCTTTGTGGTGTTTTCTCTTATGTCTGTTGCCGGGGTTCTCTCGCGTGCGGAATTGATAGATTTTTGGTCTTGCTGACCTAGAGGATGAAGCTGCAGACCCCCGCAGCACGTGTCGCAGTTCTTAAAGATTGTTCTCCAAAATTTGTTCCACTACAGACGTTTGCATGCGTCTGGGCTTTTTCCTGTTGGTAGGTTCGTGGTCTCGCTGACAGAGACCTGCAAACCTGCGTGGTGAGCGTTAGCGAAAACACAGCGTATCTGGAGTTTTATCATTCTCCCCAGTGGATTCGTGGTCTTGCACTGACAGGAGCAAAGCTGCAGACCCACGTGGTAAGTGTTAATGGCCTATAAAAACAATGTATCTGGAGTTTTTCATTCTCCCCAGTGGATTTGTGGCCTCAGTCAAGCTTTAGGAGCGACGCTACAGACCGCTAAACGGCGAGTATTACAGCTCCTAAAGTCAGCATACACCCAGAGAATCACCAACAATACTACACACAACGAAAAACCAAAACGCCCACAGCACAAAAACGGAGCGTATTGCTACTGGTTAGCGCTGGCAGCCTGCTTTTATTCCCTTATCTGGCCCCACCCACATCCTACTGATTGGTCCATTTTACAGAGAGTTGATTGGTCCACTTTACAGAGAGCTGACTGGTCTGTTTTGACAGAGTGCTGATTGGTGTATTTACAAACCCTGAGCTAGACGCAGAGTGCTGATTGGTGCGTTTATGATCCCTTAGCTAGACATAAAAGTTCCCCCAAGTCCCCACCAGACTCAGGAACCTAGCTGGCCTCATTTAGTGCATACCGCAGAGTGGTCGGGGCCAGAGCTGCCGGCTTAATCCCGCGCCGTGCACTTGCGTTTCTCAGGTCCTGGATGGTTGACCGGACCTAGCGCCGTGGAGCAGGGGGCGGCGCTCATCGAGGAGGCTCGGGCCGCGCAGGAGCCCACCGCAGGGAGGGGTGGGGGGGTTCGGGGACGGTGGGCTGCAGGTCCCGAGCCCTGCCCCGCGGGGAGGCAGCTGAGGCTCGGCGAGAACTCCAGCGCAGCGCCAGTGGGCCGGCACTGCTGGGGGACCCGGCGCATCCTCTGTAGCTGCTGACCGGGGTGGTGAGCCGCTCACTGCCCTGGGCCGGCAGGGCTGGCCTGCCACTCTGAGTGCGGGGCCTGCCCAGCCGTTTACCCGCGCCCGCCGGAACTCGCGCTGGCCTACAAGTGCGCCGCGCGCAGCCCCGGTGCCAGCCCGCGCCTGTCCTTCCATGCTTCCCCGCAAGCAGAGGGAGGCAGCTCCAGTCTCGGCCAGCCCAGAGAGGGGCTGTGGCGAGTTGAAAGGATCCTCGAGCGCCGCCAGGGTGGACGCTGAGGCTGAGGAGGCGCCGAGAGGAAGGGCTGTGAGCACGTTGCCACCTCTCACACTCTGCTCTATCCCAGGCACTGTTCTGGAGACTGCCTTGCACATCCTGTTCTTTTCCTCCTCCCTGCGTCTCTGTGAGCTTGTTCATTTTAAAAGGCCCAAATTATTACTGCAAGAGGCAACTTCCAGACTCATACGGCTACCTTGGCTCTGAAAACCAGTCCTTTGTTTTCAGATGTTTTTCAATAATACCTTCACTTGGATGTCATGTCATATTGAACATGACATTCATGTGTTCATCTGGCAAACATTTTTGAGCATCTACTCTGCTAGTTTTGAAGATACATTAGTGAACAAAGCAGCAACAGCCCCTGCTTTCAAGAAGCTCAAAGTTCACTAGGAAAGGCAGAGATCACACAAAGAAGGCATATAATAAAAGAGAGGCACAGGTGTGCAACATGCTGTCAGGCCCCTCCTCGTCTTCCCACCATCAAGTCTAAAAAGCTGCCGTCATCAGCATCGATTCTCCCCCACTAACATCGGAGTGTTGGTGCACCGTGGCTCTGGCTCCCACATCCCACCCCTCCTGCCTTCTTCATGGGCTTTTTCCCCTTCCAGTTTTTACTTCTTCCTCTACAGGGTCCTTCCCATCACCAGCCAAATAAGCCCTAAGCGGTATGCACAGGAAGCACCCAGAGGAGAGTATTTTTAAAAAGTAGATTCCCAAAGGCCTGGCACCGTGGCTCACGCCTATGATCCTAGCACTTTGGGAGGCATAGGTGGGCGGATCACGAGGTCAGGAGTTTGAGACCAGCCTGGACAACATAGCAAAACCCTGTATCTACTAAAAATACAAAAATTAACCAGGCGTGGTGGAGCACACCTGTAATCCCAGCTACTTGGGAGGCTAAGGCAGGAGAATCACTTGAACCTGGGAGGCAGAGGTTGCAGTGAGCTGAGATCGTGCCACTGCACCCCAGCCTGATTGACAGAGTGAGACGCTGTCTCAAAAAAATAAATAGATAAATAAAATGGATAGGTCCATTGGATGCAGTGGTTCAGGCCTGTAATCCCAGCACGTTTGGAACACAAGGTGAGAGGATTGCCCAAAGCTAGGAGTCAGAGACCTGCCTGGGCAACATCACTAGACACTGTCTCTATAAAAAAATAAAAAAAATTATCAAGTTCCTCAGGCACTCCTGATGTGGTCCAGGGACACACTTTGGAAAGCTCTGCTCTGCTGGAGGCCATCTTAACAGACCCCCACCCACATCTTTTCAGCCCTGCCCCCATCAGCTCCCCTTCATCACCAAGACTCTTGAAATAATCCCCTACAAACACTATCTTCATGTCCTTATCACATACTCTCTGTGTGTATGTATTTTTTCTGCAAGTTTTACCAGAGCAATCCATGTATAGAGTCCAATAATTCCATAGACTTATTGCAAAAACTAGCAAGGATGCACGCTCCCCCTTTTCATGTCCGATTCCTATTCTTCAGAGGAAACGACTTTTAAGTTTTAGCTTTTTATCCCAGTATTTGCATGTACAGATTTAAACATCGTGTCCATATGGTATTGCAATTCATAGATTTTTTTAAATGAGACCTTAAATTGCATCTTTTATTGAGCTAAAGAATATTGTAAGGCTCAAAATAGCTTCTTGTCCCAATTTCACCTCTGAAAGGACTTACTAATTTAAATATATGTACTATGAACTGAACAGTGTCCCCACTAAATACGTTTAAGTCTTTTTTCTACTTTTTTTTGAGACAGGGGCTTTCTCTGTCATCTAAGCTGGAGTGTAGTGGCGCAATCATAGCTCACTGCAGCCTTGATCTCCCAGGCTCAAGCGATCCTCTCATCTCAGCACTCACCCCTCCCAGAGGTTGCCACCATGTCCAGCTAATTTTTTTTGTTTTAAATTTTAGTAGAGACCATGTCTCACTATGTTGCCCAGGCTGGTCTTGAACCCCTGAGATCAAGTGATCCTCCTGCCTTGGCTTCCCAAAGTGCTGGGATTATAGGCATGAGCCACAGTGCCCAGCTCATACGTTGAAGTCTTAATCATCAATGTGACTATATCTGAAGATAGGGTCTTTAGGAAGTAATTCAAGTTAATGGGGTCAAAAGAGTGGTGCCCTAATTCAATGGAACTGTGGTCTTATCAAAGGAGAAAGAGAGTTCTTTCTGTCTTCACTATGTGAGGACACAGCAAGAAGGCAGTCATCTGCAATCCAGAAAGGAGCCCTGACAAGGAACTGAGTTGTCCAGTACCTTAATCTTGGACTTCACAGCCTCTAGAACTGTGAGAAAACAAATTACCATTGTTTAAGACACACAGTCTGTGGTATTTGCTATAGCAGTCCAAGCTGACTAAGACAGTATCCAAGATCATGGAGGGATACATTTTCTTTTCAAAACAAAACTAAATTCTTTTTAGTTCTAATTTTTAAAAATCAGTAAACTTAATTTTAGCAGTAATCATAAAATAAATTGCAAAGGAAATTTTGTAAGTTACATGACCCAAGAGAAAAGAATATCCATACCTATTGTTTCATTTGTTTAAAACATAATTTATCTAGAATTTGGCTCATAAGTTTTAAAATAAACTATGAAAACTTGACAGTGCATTTACTGTTAACTCCTGCGTGTGTTTTAGGAAAGCTCTTATGGAAAGAAAAAAAATGTTTTCCAGGTAGCAGACACAGATAGGTTATTTGGAGAACTGATAACTAAAAATTAGAGTCTTTTTTTTTTTTTTTTGAGACTGAGTCTTGTTCTGTTGCCCAGGCTGGAGTGCAGTGGCGTGATCTTGGCTCACTGTAACCTCTGCCTCCTGGGTTCAGGCAATTCTTCTGCCTCAGCCTCCTGAGTAGCTGGGATTACAGGCACACACCACCACGCCTGGCTAATTTTTTGTATTTTTAGTAGAGACGGGGTTTTACCATGTTGGCCAGGCTGGTCTTGAACTTCTGACCTCAGGTGATCCACCCACTTCAGCCTCCCAAAGTGCTGGGATTACAGATATGAGCCACCATTCCCCACCTTAGAGTCTTTATTAGCATTCAAAACCATGGATGCAATGAAGTGTGGAGTACTCTTAAACAAGCTCCACGTCCATGAAATGCCATGTCAGAATTTTTCCTTTCCTTTTTGCATAGCAAAATACTTGCACAATCCCAAATATTTGTCTTCCTGAGCAACAGCCACAAAGTTGATGTCACCAGACTTGGCCAGGGTAGCTGCTGATTTTCCCTTCTTCCTCCTCCTCTTCTCCTCCTCCGTTTTCTTCTGATTCTTCTTTCTCTTCCTCTTCTCTCTCCCTGCTCTGCTTTCTCCTCCTCCTTCTTCTTATTTTCTTAATCATGATAAAATATACACAACATACAATACACCATTTTAACCATTTATAAGAGTAAAGTTTAGTATCATTAAGTACATTCATGTGGTTGTACAATCATCCCTGGTGATTTCTTCCTGATTCTGTGTCCCAGAACTACTGAACTCACACTGAGTTTAGCATAATCATTGCCCATGTACTTGAAAAGTGGAGAGTTAATAAAAAAATAAAAATAAAAAAAGAAAAAAAAAAAAAAGAAAAGTGGAGAGTTGCTGACCTCTGATGCGTAGCTTGGTCTTGCTGGGCAAACCCTTCTGGAAGCTGTTCTAGAACAGCTCAGCCGCCACTTCCATGGACTCCCGCTGTGCTGGAGCTCTCCTGACGCAGCTTTCCCAGCCACACAGTCATTGCTATGTAGAGGAACTAATACTTGAGTGGCTGTTTTCTTACAGTTGGATAACTCTGTTTCCTTATAAATATTTTTATTTCTAAATAGAGAGTGCTGTCCCATCAATCCTGCATCCTTATACTAGCACTCCTGAGGCTTTTCCTAACAATTCAGCCGCGTGTTGAGGCATTCCACATTTTTAAATGCATTGCTGTTTGTTGGTATAATTGTACAGCCTTTTCTGGGTCTACATTTTCTCTGAGCTTTCCAGCTTGCTCCAATGCCTCTGAGGTTGCTGTGTCAGGGCTGCTGTTTTTTAGATCCATCATAGGCTGGTGGTTTCTGTATTTCCTTCAACACTGTACCAACTAGGTTGGGTGTGGTGGCTCATGCCTGTAATCCCAGCACTTTGGGAGGCTGAGGTGGGCGGATCACCTGAGGTCAGGAGTTCAAGACCAGTCTGGCTAACATGGTGAAACCCCATCTCTACTAAAAATATAAAAATTAGCCTGGCGTGGTGACATGTGCCTGTAGCCCCAGCTACTCAGGAGGCTGAGGCAGGAGAATCACTCAAACCCAGGAGGCGGAGGCTGCAGTGAGCCAAGATTGCACCACTGCACTCCAGCCTGGGCAACAAGAGTGAAACTCCATTTCAAAAAAAAAAACCAGGAAAACATTGTGGCAACTTGCTCGGAAACGCTGCTTTTCCATACTGAGAAGGGTACTGTCACAATATGGCTTCCACTTTAAAAAACCAGTCTACAGGTATTTCTTTGCTTTAGGCCTCTCATTTCTCTTTTGGTCCTGCACATGGTCCTGCATGGAGGACGGGAGAGACTTTTCCTTTTGGCCCCTGAAAGAGTCCCAGTCAGCTATGCATAGGTTTTTCATTTTGGACATCATCCGTTTACTTATTCATGGTTTGTCTCCCTTATTTGAATATAAGCTCTGTATCCACTTTTCAGTCACTGTGTCCCATGCCTGGCACATCATGTGGTTCATAGAAAGTTCTTCAGGAATATGTTTGAATAAATGATTGAGGAGGCCTGGAT